TTCATATGTATTAAGTGGTTAAAATATATGTCAACATTTTCACATAAGCTGTGTACTTTCTTACAAAATGTAAAAGATAACATCAGAAATAAACTCCATAAACTGCAATGAAAACACCAATACAAATCTATAATACATATAATCTTTGCTTCAGCTATCACACCCAAAGCAGTCTTCACACATGAAACCTGCATTTTCCATACAGACGTATCACTTCACTGATAGCACATATATTGTGTTTTCTTGTCCATTCCTGCAGGCATAGTTGACATCCTTTCGTTCTCTCCTATTGTAGGTCTTTGCGATGCTGCACTTGCCTGTTCACCTGTCAGCTCACCAGTGTGCTCCACAATTTTTGTGAAGTTCCCTAAGCAGAAGCATTTTGTTTTTCCTTTGCTGTAATCTGAATTCTAGTCCCAATCTTCTAAGAAAATGTCTCCAAGACATTTTACACTTGTTTTCTTTGTAAATATCAAACTATCTATGCCACATGTTTAGGATCAAGTAAAACACAATCACTGTCCAATGCTTTGTGTTTCAAGAGACATTTTAGTTGCTGTATAACTCATCACCGACATCTACTCTGCCTTTGATTTTGTTGTAGAAAGTTACTATCTCAGGCTTCTGTTTAGTTAAGGTTTTCCTATCAATATTCACCATCATTGTGAAATGTTGACATCAGCAGAGCCAGTTTGTTTTTCTTTGCCACATATGAGGCCAATGTTATATCTTTCCGAAATCCAAAGATTGTGCTATACAATTGTTTTGAAATTGCAACATTTCGTTTGGAATTTTTGCTTTGTTCCCCTGTAGTTCCCACACTGGTCAACTTCTGCTGTTAGCAAGTATAACATCAGTTGGAAACTGGTAAACCAACTGTCAAACACACATTCTGATTAGTTTGGGAAAGGGGAGCAACAAGTGCATTCACAGTATCATTTGATTTATTACTAAATGAATAACGACCTGGTAGCTGAGTTCCAGGATAAATTTGTAAGTTGAAAGCATAATAAGTCTTTGCATCTACAAGGGCATATATTTTTTTGCCATATTTTTAAGGTTCTGAGGGAATATGCTGCCTGAAGCTACAGCAACCATGAAATGCTACAAGCTGTTCATCAATAGTCATGTGTTCAGAAGATATGTAGATTGCTTGCCAATTACACACAAATCTCTCAAACCTTGAGCAGAAAGTAGCCAGATTATCAGTGTCACTTTCTTGGTGGGTGGTTTGTCATCAGACCACAGAAAACTTTGAAGGAAATCAAATGTCCTCATTGTCATCATTATTCTACAAATCCCAAGCCCACATCCATTGCTTTTTCATAAGTCTTTTACATTCCAATGGAAAGTCTTGCTAAGTATAGCAGACTTATGAATGCTTTCAATTCAGCTGAGGTGTCACAATAAATACATGTTTGAGTATGGTTATTGGCACATACAGAACATTTTACTAGTATTTCAGCATTTGTGTATTTCATGGATAAAACTCACCTGTCGCTGCTTTGTATCTCATACATACTTTGTCATTCATTTGCCAACTGGATGAATGCACAGATGAGTTTTCGCTTTCCTTAGGCATGGCTAACTGTGAGTCACACCCATATTCCATTTATGGTAAAATACATGTTTAAGAAAAGTGGTATGGGTATATTTTACTCCCTGTGATGCTCTGGTGAACACATGCAAAACCTGTTAGCTAGAACATTATGTAGTTAAAAATCCCAGTTTGACACTTTTGCACACATGCATGTACTTTGCAGTTCATAGTGCCAAGTGGATAAACACAAAGATTGCTTCCTGTATTCCCCATGTACAGCTACTAAGTCACACAGTTTGCTACTATTATGCTTCAGAACAAATTTACAGTAAAAATAACTATGGGATGGGTCCTTGTAACCCAGTGTTATGTCCTGCGTTTTTAAATGGTCAACTAACTTCAAGAAACTCCATCCTGGGAAAGCCACCTCTATAGTCTTCTAGGTAGAATGTGCATGGAAATACATGGCTCAGCATGAATTAAATATTTGAGAATGCATTCTGAATACTATTTAGTCATAACAAAATAAATATTTAAACTTTCGTGATACAAATGATCTAGCACAGTCACTCAGTCACATGTAATATATAAGGAGTTTCTAGGAACAAAGGTAACATCAGAGTTGCCATTTTCTTTATAGTTATGCCATCCAATGCAAAAACACAAATCTGTTAATTTCTACAAATTTATAATTCTTTGTAGTCACAGGGAGAATGACTAAAACCTTTGCTCTGCAGTTTAGTAGTCTCTTGAAAAAGGTCTAAAATTAAATAGTGTATCGAATACAGAGGAACTATCCACTTTTATTTCCAATGTTCTATAAGAAATAACTGTCAAGGCCTAAAGATACAGTTTAGCAGCACAGTGCCAGCCTGGTAAGTGTGAAGTCAGGAGTTCGATTCCCAGTCAAAAAAAAAAAAAAAAAAAAAAAAAAAAAAGAAGGAAAAAGAAAAAAGAAAGAAAGAAATCTGTCCAGCATTTGCACTTTTCTTCCAAACCAAAACAAACCACAACAAAGAACTCATTTAATCTATCCCTTCAAGTCTATGAAGGAGTGAGAAAGTTACTGTTTTTCTAAATAAACACATTGGGAACCATTTTGAAACTAAATTGTTGAAAATGTTTCTAATATTGTGATTTAAAAATATTTCCTACTATAAAAGCTTTTGTCTGCATACTTGAAAAGCTAGGGACTAGAATTTTAAAACTGTTTTCACAGTCTAAAAGAAATTTCTCAGGTTTTAACTTCTTTGTTAAAAGTATAAAAATATAACACCTTCCAATCATCCAAAAGACTGACTGGCTTCAGATGTAAATTTGGGTTAATTTGTAAATTTGTTGAATTTCCATTAAAAGCCTTTGCATCATGGTGAAAGTGACTGGAAAATGAGTATTATAATTTAAGTGCTGCAGCCAAGGAAGAACTGTACTTCTGTTCGAATATACCAACCTTTGACAAGTATCTTTTCTAGTTAAGACAGCCATTAACTTGCACTGAAAAGTGATTTTTAGCAGGATGTGATGAGGAACACCTGTAATCTCAGCACTCTGGGAGGCTGAGGCAGAAGGATCCAAAGTTTGAGCCCAGCCTGGACAATAGAGCAATTCAACAAGACTTTGTAGCAAAATTTAAAAGAAAGAAAGCCAGAGGGTCTGGGGGTGTGACTCAGTAGAAAGGCCGTGAGTTCAATCTCCAGTACGAGAAAAAAAAAAGTGTGATGAAAATTTATTTTGGCTTAGTTTTGGAGGTTTCAGTCCTCACTGCTTTGTCTCTGTGACAAGGAAGAGTATCATGGTGGAAGCCCGTGGCAGGGCAAATCACCAGTCACCAGGGAGCAAAAGAAAGGCCAGTTCCAAGCTCTCTAGAGACCTCCCACTAGGCTCCACCTCTCACAGTTTTAACTCCCTTCTAGCAGGCCCACACCCCGGCACAAGCCATTGGCCTGAGTGAGACTTAAAAGACCCCAATTGTAGCAAAGTTTGTTTGCCAACCTGTACCTGACATAATTTAGGGGTTCCTAGTTCTAGTATATCCTCAATAATTGCTACTTGCATACGATGCACATCTAACACAGGTAAAGGCACTCAGAATTTACACATGTGCACACATGTGTGCGTAAGTTTGCAAATGCAAACTGACCTCCAGGGTAATCCCGGTGGTGTGGAATGGAGACCCTAAGAAAACACTGCCACTTGCAGAGGGTCTAAACACAAGATTCACTCCTCAGTCCGAGCAAAAAGATTGCCTTTTATCTTTATTTTTAATTCTAACACTTGGGACTTCCTGAATAACGCCTTGTTACTTGGGAAGATTTAGAAACTGCGACTCTCCGAGAGGGTCACCGACACAAACTTGCCCTGGAAGAGCTTTCACGCAGTTCAGCAGTAGTCCGCAGTGAAGGTGCCACCGGGCCCCAGGGGAGCGCGAGAGGTCGGCCTCCACAGCCACAGCCACGCGAAGAAACAGTTTCGGGGCTCCTGATTGTCGCGAAGGAGGCCACGGCAGACTATGGAAAAATGTGAGGAAAGAGGTGGGCGCGTGAGCCGCTAAGGGCGCGCAGGGTGCACCCGAGACAACGCGGCCCGGCACACAGGCTCGGGAACAAAGGTCGGGCCTGGCAAAGCAGGGCCGGCCTTGGAGACCGCCGGATCCGCGGCTCCCGGACCAGCCAGGCCGCGCGACTGCGGAGGGTGACGGGGCGCGGCGGCCGAGAGGCGCGAGCGGCCGGGGGAGGCGGGAGAAGCGCAGGAGAAGGAGGGGAAGGCAAGGAGGCGGAGGAGAGGAGGAACCCGCCCCGCCCCGCCCCGCCAGCTAGGAGGGAGCGGCCGGCGGGCGGCGGCGGCGGCGGGCGCTGAGGAGCGGGGAGGGGGCGGCCGGCCGGGCGTGCGCCAGCTAGCGGCGGGGGGAAGGGGCCCGGAAGCGGGAGCGCGGCCGCGACGCCGGCGGACCCGCCTCCAGCTGCGCCGCGCTGCGTCCGGGCCGCGGAGGCCGAGGGCTCGGGGCCAGGCTGCCGGGCCGGAGCGGCGGGGAGAAGCCCACCTGAGCCGGCTCGGCCGGGCTTGGCGGGGAGCTTTGGGGTCGTCTCCACCGAGTGCCGCGCAAGTCGTCCCCACGGAGTGCAGCGCGGTGACGCTGTGCGGGCCGTCGCGGCTGGCGAGGGGAAGCGGATCCCCTTTTCATGGAGGCTGAGGCGAGAGGGGATTTCGGAGCCTGGATGTGGAGGAGAGAAACGGCAGAACTAACTCAGGAAATTGTCTGTCGGAGAAAGGCCGAACGAGGGCTGGGTCTTAGAACCAGGCTGGGGTAGGTGTAGGAAACCTGCGAGTTTAAAGGAAAAAGCAGATAATATTTTCAGACATTCTCTCTGGTTTTGGCTAATGCTCTTATTTTAAAGGTTAAAAAAAAAAAAAAAACAAAAACACTGCATTTCTGGTGTTTTAAAAATTTTTTTATTTTTTGGTGTGAATGGTTCATTTCAGAATTTCAAAACCTTTAATGTAAAAGCTTTTTTTTTTTTTTTTTTTTTTTTTTTTAAGGAAATCCACAGATTTTGTTTCTCAAGGTTGCGCTGGACCTGGGAGGAGTGTTGGTGTGCACATACTATTGTATGGTTTTATTTATTTATTATTATTTTTAAATTTTTTTTTATTTTTGCCTTGCATATCAGCCGGAAGATTTTTTCCAAGTGCCATTTCGGAAATTTTTTTTTATTTGGTCTCTCGAACATATTATCTGCCCTTGTCATTTTAAGCATTGGATACCAGAGAATTATTTTCCCCTCTTTGGAGCTTGAGGCTTCCTTGCCAACAGAAGGACAGCTGGGAAAACTGAATTAAAAGGATGGTTTTTATCTGTGTTTTGCAGTTAAGACTGATATTTTGAAGGCACGTTCTTTCTGTGATTCGTTTTTTATTCACTGTGCTAATCTTGAAGAGATTTGTGGTTGAGATTTTGGTTTCCAAGAAGGTCATAGTTTTTCCTCTTTGAAGAAGGGGGAGGGGAAAAGGTGGGATAAGAAAGGAGACCATGTTGACTGCTAGAAGTAGAATGGAGCTTCAGTTACCAGGGTCCTGAGAGCTGAAAGAAAAAGGATTCAATCTTCAAGTTGGGAGGTCCTCTTCTCGTCTCAGTTAAAAATTGCAAGAGAGTCAAACCTGATCAAGACCAAAGCTGCAGGATTCTGAGACACTGAAGACACTGAGAAACCATGAGTGTAAGGTTACCCCAGAGTATAGACAGGTAGGTGAGCTAATAATTTGGTTTTTTCACCACTTAACTGAAGGAAGGGCTGGGAAGACTGTTTTGCATTTTGCAAAAAAAAAAGTCTGGGTGGGCTGTGGAAATTGGTGAGCACAGAGCATTGGTCTTTGGAGATTGTTGGCATGTGTTTATGTGGCCTCAGTGTGTGTCCATGTTCAAAACATACCTCCTGATTCAGTGTCTTTTTAATGTAAGCAGTAAGCAGTGAAGCCAGAACTGGGAAGGAGGGGGAAATACTTACAGTGGCTTCTGACTTTGGTCAGCCTGGGGGCTGAATTTGGATCCCCAACTTGCCAGCCTAGGGGTGGGAAACAGGAGCAAGCCTGGTCATGTGAGCTCCCAGGGTTGGATAGGGACTGGCTTTAGGTGTGGGAATTGCTGGGGGAAGGGCCCTGGCAAGGGGTGTGGGCCTCCAGTAAGCTGGTTGTTATGGGATAGTGAGGCTTGGTTATGGGCTGGTATGCTTCAGCGGAATTAGAATTTCCTACCTTCTAAGCTTAAATTGAGATCTGGTAAGCGGCCGAGGCTCTGGGTTTATTCTTCCAAGCTGCTGTTAATAAGCTTGCCTCTGCAAAATGGGCCTTCCCTCTCCCTAGAGCCGGAAGGAGTTGTTTCGGGCTCTTAGTCCTGATGGGCAGAGAGGCTCTGGCCCTCAGTCAGAGCACATGATGCCCTTCCCTGCAGAAGTCAGCCCAGCCTCCCCATGTCATTGGTAACCTTACAGTGTAGTTGTAATTCTTTCCTGTAAAGGAATGATACAACTTTGTAAATTGTCTGCCCTTTCCCTTCCTTCTTCTTCTCCACCCTTCCCTCCTGGAGAATCTAAAGGGGGTGTGTTTTGTAGGTGTGTACATATCCTAACTAAATGTGTGGGTGGTTGGAGGACTAAGCAAGCAAATGAAGGGGCCAGGCCTGGAAAAAATATTGGAGAGATAGGGAAAGAATATCTGCAGGAGAGCAATTGTTCTCTCGCTGTCCAGTTAACCTTTGGTTACCCATGTTAAGAATAATTTACTTTTGACTGCAAAATGGGACACAGCATGCATATAATCTCTTTCAAATGTTAATCTCTGTATTGCTTCAGAATGCCATTTAGATTTGTTCAGTAGTCCCCATATAGGGAACTGACTTGGCAGTGAAGAAGAGGAGGCAGACAACCACAAAGGATATGTGACTGATTTGGACCTCTTCCTCTTTCCATTGGCCCTGGGAAAGGGATAACTGAGGCATGTCAAAGCAGAGTTGAAATGGTTTATGTGGCAGCCCTTCTTCTCTTTTTGTCTATTAATGAGAATTCAGGGATTGTGAGGAGACAGAGACCCAAGTGTTGAAGAGCACAAGGAGAAGGTGGTGAGGGTTCCTGAACTGAAGTGAGATACTTCACTGGGAATTTGAATACCTTCATAGATACAGATCTCAGACTGTCTCTTCTGAGCTTTATGACGTTTCTGAGAGGTAGACAAATCAGAAGTCATTATTCTCATTTTGCAGAAGGGGAGAGTCTCAGAGAGGATTCCTGGCTTATCTGGTGCCACCTTGACTAATGTCAGTCTGGAGTGAAAGTTGGGTTTCTTTTGATTCTGAATCCCTGGCCTTTTTCATTGCTCCATCCTGTTTAACGAGGTTTGTAGACTCATTCTATAGATTGTAGGTGGTACCATTTTGCTCTTGTAGCAGTAAGTAAGGTGCTCTTCAGCAGCCAAGGTATTCCCTGCACTTTATACCTGTAATTTCAATAGTTAAAGCACCATTTTCTCCTGTGAGATTATATAGCTTTGCAGAGTCAGGGCTTTCCTTGCCTTTACCCCTGCCTGATTATCTTTCCCATTCAAAGATTCCGTTCTGCAACCTGGGTCCCTTTCTGGCCCTTTCCAGCTAGCTGTCCTGGATTGTACTGTGTTTCCTTAGCTACAAGCTTATTCTGTTGGACCATTTGACATCCTAGGCTCTAGATTCTAGAACAGTGATGGTGAAACTTGTGGAGTTTTCAGTGGTAACAGACAGCTCCCTGCAGCACACATGCCATAGGTTCATCACCATTGCTTGTAATTTATAGTCTTACACTGTTCTGGAGGGACTGATTGGAAGGAAATGCTGCAGATTATGAAGTTAGGGATTCTGATCTCTGAGCTTATCAGTTTGCTGTGTAGAGTCTCATGTAACATGCTTTAAGAGTGTTTGTTTTGTTTTTGAGATAGGGTCTTTCTGTGTAATTCATGCTGGCCTTGAGCTCACTGTGTAGCTCACTCTGACCTCAGATGCAAAGCAATCCTCCTGCCTCAGGTTCCCAAGTGCTAAGATTACATGTATGCATCACCACACCTGGCTATGTAAGAATGTTTTAAAATTGAAATATACAATTCTTGTTCATAAAGAGTACATAATCTAATTGGAGGCGTAGGAAACACATAAGATTCCCAGAGAGCACGAACTATAAAAGCAACACTGGTCTCTTAGTTCTGTAAAAGTAGGGATTGTACTGGTTTGCTGTATTATTATTGTTATTATCCTGTGTACCCAGCTTAGTGGTTTGTATATGGTGCTCCAGAAATATTTGGATGTTGAGATGAAAGAACACATCATTGAGTGTAAAGTCTTCCATTTCAGGTTGTTTCAGTATTCATGTCTTAATTTCAAATGTAGTCAAAATATAGTTAATTAGAGAAAGTTTCCTAGGTGATTTGTATTTTCCAGAAGATAACATCATGGAGGACTGTGTATGTAGAGAGTCATTTCAAGAAGACATTGAAATATCTATTTGGTGGTCTTTTACCTCCTTTCCTCCTGTTGAAGACTGACTCCTGGGTCCGCCTAATGGATACAGTATTTGCAACTAACCTTTATCTTTTGGTGTTAATAAGTTGTTACTGAAAGATGAGCTAATATGTAGCTGATATGTAGTTGTTAATGTCTTTTTTAGGCTTTTTGTTTGTTTGGTTTGGTTTTGATACCAAGGATTGAACTCATAACTTCATGCTTGCCAGGCAAGTGCTGTGCTACTGAGCTATATCCCCAGCCCTTTTTTAGAATTTGCACATGGACTTAGTAAATATATACTAAGTATTTTTTTTAAGAGTTTCTAGACTGAAGGTACAGTTTGGAGGTAGAGTACTTGCCTACCATGCCCTGAGCTCAATCCCCAAACACCTTTTCCTCTGCAAGTTTCTAAAAAAAGTTGTTTCTAGTACTGAGATTATGGTACTGAATTATTTTCACAGAAATGATGAGTTTTACTAGGCTATCTATATCTGTTTGCCTAGTTCCCCATGGCCGGTGGCTTAGGAGTTTGTTTCTGTGAAACAGCTTTCTTCTGCACAAAGTTAGCTTATATTAGCACCAAACCAGAGAAGTAGTGTATTAAGCCAAAAGTTCTTGGTTTGAGCCCTGGCTTTCCCCATAACTGTGTGACCTTGGGGAAGTCACATGCCTCCTCTGCCTTCATCATGTGTAAAGCAGTAGTAGCTCATTTGTGTAAAATACTTTTCAGTTCACAAATACTGTGCTTTTATGTAATGGGCCATTTGAGGACTATAATGTTTATGACATCTCACAGGGCTGTTTAAAGGAGTGAATCAAGTGAGATGTTTCAAAATTGCTTTAATTGCTTTATAAAACTACATATAACTTTTAGATAGTAAATTTATGGATTTGATTTGGCTTCACGCACTATCTCCTAAGCTAAGTAACCCGAAACAAAGTAAGGATAAACAAAAGATCTTTCCATTACTTTTTCTTTTTTTTAAAATAACTTTTCTTTCATTTTTTATTAGTATATGTTTGTGATACACAGTAAATATATCTGTTGTGGGGAATTAGTATGTTTACGTATACAATTTAAGCACAGTAAGTAGGCTTTGTTGTTACCAGAGTACACAAAATTAAAAGAAGTGATCATAATTCGATGATGATACTGAAGACTGTGAGAAGACAACAGTTACTGAGTTTCCTTCCCAGGAATTTTGATAAATGGAAGACACTCTCGACCTTCACTCCCTTAGTTGTCATTACTTGTGGTAATGGTGGTGGTGGTGAGGGGGTACTGAGACTTGAACCCAGATCCTGATGCATACCAGGCAAGTGGTTTACCTATGAACTATGTCCTTAGCTCCAAAAAGAATGTGTTTTGTAGTCTCTGGCCACTGTTTTTTATTGTAGTGTATGACTTTCCTAATTCAAAATAAATCTAGACCAACCAGCTGTTCCTTGTCAGGGGTCTCTTCCCATCTGGATTCTGGTCTCTATTGAGCTCAGAGACAATCCCCAGGCGTTAGCTCTCATTATCTAGTTTAAAAGGTGACAGGGATATAGAGCTACAAAGGGTCAGTGCGTTAATTTTGAGACTTTTTCAGAATATACTTTTTTTCCCATCTAGGACTGTGTGATGAGAGATGGCAGTGGATTCACAGATGAAACAACTGGCGATTAATCACCATTAGAAGCAGGAGTAAGCTAAGCTTAATTCCATGCACTCTGATAGCACTCTTTGATGAGTACATTTTTAAAGCTTTTTCATAGTGAAAATATTGGCAGGCAGAGCTCTGTTCTCCTAGGAGCATACGCAAAAAATAAAAATGATTATGAGTTCACTAGAAATAGATTTTGCGAAGGGCACTTACCTAATCCCTACATTAGTGTAAAGGCAAACAAGGAATATTCTATGGAATAGGATTTGGAAACTGTGGAGTTTGGAAGTTTGGATAGTGTTCCTTACTGCTTTAAGATCCAGAATTCTTTTTTTTTTTTTTTTTAAGTCTAGAATTCTTATTATGTGAAAGGATTTGTTAACTGTAAGAGTCTGTAAAACATGTTATTCTAACCTATACTAACTGAATGTGCTTCATGTCATCACATGGCATTTTTATTAAATGTCTTCTTTATTGGTTTATTGTTTTTAAAACTTAATTGGAAGATTATAAAGTAACTTGGGAACTTTTCTCTGTGGGCTGTGAGTGCTTCCTTCTTTTCTTAATCACCATATT